GACGGCTTGACGGCGGCCGCGACGGCGGGAACGGCAGCTGCGACGGCGGGGACGGCGAGCTCGCGGGCAGCGCTGGTGAAGAGGTGAGATGCGGGCGGCACGTACGGAGCTCACGGGCGCTGATGGGGACGACAGCGGCGGCGGCAGCCCAGACGAGATGCACGCTGCTATGCGAGATGATGTGTGCGGCTGGCGGCTGCTGGGTGAGATGCGGTTGTTGGGTGGGTAATAGTGCTGGAGATAGAGTTTTGGGTGGCACTGACTGGTGGGCCACGCTAATTTTAGTACGCGTGAGTGGGCTGGGCTGAGCGCGCCAAAAAAAGAAAATGGGCTATAGACACCAATCGTTTGACTCTAATATTTGTTTTTAGCGACCGATTGTTTGACGTAACAGGCTAAATATATGTAGCAACCGATGTTCTGTCGATACATGTAAAAATAGCGACCGATGATTTGTTACAAATTTATAGCGACCGATGGTTGGATGTTAATATTACGTTTTAGCTACCGTTGTCTGACGCTACAGATTGGTTGTGGTATAGTGAGTTTTGCTGGTTTTATGTACAATTAGGGCATGTTCGGAATGCAGAAATTTTATAGGAATTGTGCATAAATGTCACAAGAGAATCAGTTTAATTTCACAGAAAAAACACAGGAATTTCACAAAAAAAACACAGGAAAATTTTCCCACGTTCCAAACAGGCGCTTAGGATTTTTCATCTCATTTCATACATTTTCACCAAATTTTAGTCAAATTAATCCAAAATAAAATTTTCCATTTTTCCAATAACCACAGGACCATTTGCACTAAAGCATTATTATATGATAACAAAGGGGAACTTACATGACTCGGCCTTGGTAGAACTCCACGAGAGCAATGGAAGGATGGTACTTACCTTGGCGGGTGACTCCTCCAAGCTTGTCTTGAAAACATGTCGGCTCGGGTAGTAACCTTTGTGCCGATTTACCATCTTAATCTTCTTTGATTTTGGTTTGGCGGCTTTGTTTTGCCTTGGAGGTGCAGGATCGACTTGGATCTGTGTGAATGCTTCAGCGGCTCACATGACTGAGGGAGATGAATGCTGAAGGTGTTGTTCACATCTAATTAGTATGACAAGGCCAAGATGAATTGCATAAACGATAAGGGACTTTGAAGTACGCTCACAGTGGACGAAGGCTGTGATGTGCCTCCTTTGTGTGATGTGCAATATTATTGACGCGTACTCGCATGCTTTGATTTATCTCTTCATATGAATTAATCTCAAGATTTACCCACTTAATTTTGATTTTTTTTGCAAGGGTTATTAGTCCATATATACAACCAATGTCAATAGAAATACTCCTTGTCGGTTCAATAATCAAACTAGACATTGTGTCTAATTTGATTAAGGAATGCTATTTAATATAAGCACAATGTTTAATTTAAAAAGTCTATGAAATAATGATCATTACACACCAACCTTAAACTAAGCACCATGCTTAAATAAAAGGGTGTATGAACACACCCAAAGCAAAGCGTGCTAAATAGAAAGAGGAAGCATGAAAGCATAATCAAGATTTACTTCACATGGAGATAAAAAGAGAAAGAAAGTGGTGAACCAAAGGGCCATTGTACTTCTTTTTGTTATTTTTTATATGAAAAAGGATGTGAAAGAGATGAATGATTGCAGCTAAACAAACATGATGTGGTATATGCATGAACCTCTAGGCTTAGCCTTTGCTTGCAGCGCGAATAGACTACCGACTAGAACGAATGGCATAACTAGACATCTAGGTCCGCCGGTCTCATTTAACATACACATACTATGGAGCTGGACTAACAACATCGATAGGTAGGTAGCAAAGAAGTATTCCATCTATATAGACTAGGTACACTGTCGAAATACAACTCAGAATCTATGAGCCACCCAAAGAAAACACTAGAGATGTAATGATTCAAGAAAACAAATGTTGTGGCAAGAGCGAATGCAAAAATGTTAAAGATAACTATGGGTTACCTCCCGGTAGGTGCTCAACAAATTTTGAAGTCCATGAGCTAGACTACCTCACTTGATCAATTTTGCCATCACCCACAATTTTAGATGAAGTTGTGAGTGATGCGATGTCTTTGTTCGGTCACATATGATGATTTCATTATCTTTTTGATGGCGACCTTCTCTCCATTTTGCACAAGGTTAGGATAATGTACACATATACATACCTGTGAGAATTCTAAAGGATATGCATGGCTAAAGTGTTGATAGATCATGAACGATTAGGTGTCCTGGGCTCTTTGATTTTTTTTCTTGTGGAAATACGCTGGAAGGTCGGAATGCTGATGTTGTCCTGTTTGTTCCACACTCAAACAAAACATGGGTAATCTTGCAAAAGCTAGTGATAGATTAGATTAGTAGACATCAATGTTAATATAAATATCTTTTGCCAATTGGGTCCCTAACAACAGCGTCAGAAATGCTTGTTGTTATTTCCTATGCTCAAGTAGGTAATTTCACCTGAGAGTATATCGGAGTATCGTATTTATCCTCATGGAAGCAATGACTTAAGAGTATTGGTAACTAACAATGATGTGTATCTACTAATTGATACACCAACTAGACTAATGTGGGGTAAGTCATATGATAGGAGTTATGATTAATGACACACATAGGAGAATTCCATGTTAAGGATAGGAGAGTAGTCTAGCTAGGTTGGAAAGACAACAGGGGACAAGGTTCCTATATTCTTCTCTACTACTATGTTTTAACTTTATTTGGTCAGTAGTTCATAATCCACGTTTTTGTAATTAAGTGGTGCAAGTTGGGTCCGGTACTGTCCCTGTGCTCGGTAGTATTCCAAATTGTATTCATGTACAATTGGCCAATGATTTGGCCTCACTTATTGCGTAACGGAGATCTTTGTTCCATGTTAAAAAAAATCGGAAGGGCTACCACCCGGACGTCTGGCAGCAGGACACGTTCGGAGACTGCTCCAGAGCACGTGTCGCGCTCATTCGCAGCTTCGTGCCTCTTTCCCTAAAAAAAAGCCTCGTGCCTCGCTAGCCGATGTGGCCTATCCGCATCCGCAGGCCATCCCCATCCACAGGACAACACTGGCCATTGCTCCTCCACCGCTGCCCTACGCCCAACTTGAGCACCTGGAAAGGGAAGGGCCTAGACGGCCATGCCGGACCTTGCTGGCGGCGCTGGAGGTGGAGGAGACACCGATGCGAGGCAACAAAAGGCGGGGAGGAAGATGCAACACCCGGTTTACTTTTAAAACATCTAAATGCAACACTCGCAACATATGGCTTAAGACTGATGAAATATTTGAAACATGCGTCTGAAACACTTGCAAAAACACTGAAAAATACTTGAAACCATTGTAAACATACACAACATCCAGATAAAACACTTACAACATATGCGCGAAACATATGCAACATCCAGATAAGCACACTTGCAACATATATCTGAAAAAACAGATGAAACATTGAGAACAAAAGCTGGCAACATAAGTGCACAACCATTTCAACATATGCAACATCCCAATCTACTTTTGCAACATCCATATAAAACACTTGCAACATATACCTATAAAACATCTGAAACAATTGAAACATGCGTTTTGCAACATGGGAGAGGCCAGGACCAGTCGAATCTAGCCGTTGGGGTCGGAGCCGGCGATGAGCGGCAGCGCGCGAGCACCACCAGCACCAGCGGCAGCGCGAGCACCACCACCACCACCAGCACCGGGCTTGCCTCGGACAGACGGTCAGCACGTGCAACGGGAGGGAGCAGGCGGTGCGCGCGACGGGCGAAGCAAGTACCACCAGCATCAGCGCCAATTGCGGCGCACGAGCACCATCGGTGGAGAGAAAGGATGGTGGCAGGCAGGCGGCCACCGCGGGCGGTGCTGGCAGTCGAGACCTTGACGAGTGGAGGGTGGGGTTTCCGTTCTAAGGAGTGAACAACGACCGAATGATTTTTGAATAAAAAAATACGATCATAATAGAATACACTTGCTAGGCCACTAAGGCTTAGGGGGTGTTTAGAAATTAGAACTGCTTCACTCCATATTTTTTCACTCTGCTCTAAGTTTTTTTAGTTAAACGGTTTCAGCTCCATGCACTCTGTTTAAAAAAAAATGGTTGAGTTATGAGAGTACCTGTAGAGTTATTTCATAAACTTTAGTTTTATTACAGAGCTGCTTCACGATGGATTTTATGGAGCAGAGTCCCGGTACACATCCTCAGCGTCGCGGTGCAGGGCAGCATCAGCGTCTGGTGGATCTGACGCCCACCCCTTAGCGCATTTCCGTAAAATAAATTTCTCAGTTCCACACACGGCCCCACCGCTACTAACCCGCCCCTCGGCCGTCGCCCCCGCCCCCGCCCAACCCCCGACCTCCCAAACTCGACTGGCGACAGCCGCTGCCGCCATACTCCAGGTACCCAGGTCTTCTTTGGGCCCTTCGCCGGCGACGAGCACCACCAGGTAGGCCCACCTCTTTGTCTTCCCTTCTCTGTTGTGCGAAATTGAGCACCCAACCTTGGATTCGGATCTTGTCTAACTACAAGTATATACATGTATTATGCACACTAACTTCGATTGTTTTGCAAAACATATCGGGTCATGTGTACATCCATGTGGCCATGTCCTGTACTGGGTCCGCCCCTTCTTGCCACATTTGCTACCATCTGGCTTTTTAGAAACAGTTGGATACTATGGAATTAGCTACGATGGAGATATGTTCTTGCTAGCTATTCTGTGGAGATTCAGTTAGTACAGATTCTCATATGGTGGAGTACATTGCAAGCAATTCCACATAATCTTAGAGAAGATTGAGAGATGACCAATTTTTTAAAATCTGACTTTGCTTTTAAAGACATTATTAAGAAACTTTTAAAGTTGAATTTGGACTAGATGTGCACTTATTTAGTTAAGTTTATCAATACTTGTTTGACAGATGTTCATTCCCCTCTACCCTTTCGTTCAATTCTTTTAGGTATTCCAGTTGGTCTTATGGAGAACAATGATGCAGACAAGAAAGAGACTGATGACTCCACTCCGCAGCGTAGTCGTAAAGTCAGGAAGTCCTTAGTTGTGTGTCATTGTTGATGCATGAGTTAATGCTGTCTGCTGCTTACCTTTTCATTTTTTTCTTTTTATTACAGCCTGAACTTAAATTTGCACCCAAAGTTCTTCCTAAGAAAACGGCGAAAATCATCCCTAAAAGGTAAATCAATCTATTATTTATTGTTGTCATATTTGATCAATTCTTACTCGCAAAAAAAATATATTTGCTCAATTCAACAACTCATATTTAGGTTAGTACATTATATGTGGAATGAAAGTTATGGTGTGTTCTTTAGGGAACCACATGAGGAGAACAAGGTTTTGACAATTGATAGGAAAGTGATGACTGGAATTGGTAGCTTCCAGGTACTTAAATGTCTAGGGGTTTTTTTTCCATATATATGTTTTGCTTTGGTTGCACATACATACAATTCCTAGTTTCATATGGCAGATAACTGATAACCCCAGAAATGGAGCTAAGGCTGAGAAACAAGGTGATTATATTTCAATCCTGTGTTCATTATAATAATCTTCTTAACCTAGTAACGATTTGATCTCATACTCAATATGCCTACATCTCGTGGGAATTAAGTTGATTAGCTCATCATTCAACCTGAGCTGCTGTCAGAACAAACTTCCTTAAATTCGAAAAGCACAGCCTAGTTTTATCAGTTGTAGCATAGGATGCTATTTGTCAACTTATGTCACTCACAACATACGTCTCAATTTCATTTGGACGAGCAGACCCTTCAGTTCCAAGGACTTTCCCCACTCCAAGAAGCTCTTCAACAGGTAGTAGCTTAAGGTGGCATTAGTTTCATTTTTAATTTCACCTTCACTTCATACTCACAAATTAGTTTCATGTGTTTGGCAAATTAGCAAAGAAAGTTATACTTTGTCATTAATAGAATCTTTGACATATACGATATACCTTTACTATATCTACTTTTATTCTTAAGTACTGTGCAATTGTGTAACTGAAAAGATAGTTATAGTTTGTTCCATGTGTATTCCCTGTTTAGGTGCAGCTGCTGTAAAATTACTCAAGGAGCATGACGAACCATGGGTGCGTAGGAACATAAAAAACACAAACATGGTGTACATTCTTTTGTCATTGATTTGATATATGTTAGTAATTTCTGCAGGATTACAAATGTACCAATTATCCTGTTACTCTACCACAGATGGCCCAACTCTGGAGATACAGGTTCTCTTGTTCCTGTTTCTTAGTTTCTTCTGTGTTTGGCAGTGTGATGCTCACTAGGTCACGCTGTCTGGTGCTCATTAGCTTCCCACTACATATATGACAGAAAATCTTGATGAAGAGGAATTCAGCCATTCTTTGAGCAGAGCCCAAGATGGTGAACTGACAGCAGCTGAAGAACTTGGTCTGATGGTATGTATACCATATTGCATGGTTCCAACACTGTAAAGTCAATTTGTTGTGTTTCAAAGCAAATCAAAACACTCATGTTAATCGAACTGCCCTGATTTCGTATTGTCTTGTACATACAACTTTCAGCCTTAGCTTTTATCTTATCTTATTTTTTATTTTCTTACGCTGGCAGGAAAGGGTGGATATGCCACAGTTGCTTTTCTTCCAGTTTCCTACTTCTCTTCCTTTACCAAGGGAAACTGACCCAGCTGCTGAAACAGAGACAAATAACATTGTCAATGCGAATACAAAATCCATGGGGAACTATAGGAAGAGGATGCTTGACTCAGGCAATGCCTGTAGTCTGAAAGAGCTCCCAGGTGGTCTCATGGGAAAGATACTCGTATACAAGAGTGGTAAAGTGAAGATGACGCTCGGTGATGTGCTCTTTGATGTAAGTAGCAAAAATCAGTAACTTCTGCAAGGTACATTTTCTTTCTTTTCATGACCCTGTTGTACTCAAAATTGACAAATTGTACAGGTTGCGGCTGGCTCCAATTGCATGTTTGCTCAAGAGGTTGTAGCGATTGACACTAGGGAGAAGCACTGCTCTAGCATGGGGGAGCTTGGAAAACGTGCAATTGTAACACCTGATATCGACTATTTGCTAGATTCTATTGAGAAGATGTAGCCTGTGGTTAGGCATAAGTGGGTATATAGTTTGGTTGGTTGGGGGCTCCTTCTGGTTTTACAGAGCGATATTTCTAGGTTCAATTCTCGGGATTACTTCAGAGTTGGTCGCAAGTGGATTGTTATTGCTACTGTTTTGCAGTGAAGAGTGAAGACTATGAAGTTGCAAATCTGCAACAGGAAAGCTAACAAAATCAATACTGGTTGCAAATATGCTCTGTTCGCTTGACTGATAAGCCATGACTGAAAGTACTGTTGGCTGATTTGTTGTGAGAGAAAAATAGTGTTCGTTGGCTGAAAAAGTACGGCTTATAAGCTAAGCGAACAGGGCGGTTCAACAGATGGGTTATTTTGCTTGTTTACTTTGACCGCCTTTTCACCAACAATTGCTAAGCTACTCCAAACACTTCACTGATGTTAGGAGTTAACGGGCAGCTATAGTAACAGGCAGACCAGTGCATGCTGTTTTGGTTCATTTCATGAATGAGGGGAAACATGGTTGATGGAAATTGCTGCGCATGAAGACTGGGGCAATATTCTCGCGATTTCAGGTGGAAGGGCACAGGGTGTATACAGGCTGCTTAAACCATGCATGTCATTTGACCCCTAAAGCCTTGTTTCTTAAAAGATTGCTCGAAAATGTAATGTTGGTATTAGCTACTAGCCTAGTAGCATAACCGTAGTGCATGCATTAGAGCAACTCCAAAAGATTAGCTAAAAAGCTTATCAAATTTATTGATTCAACTATTCTCTAAAATAAATCCTATCTAGAAATAAGTCATATCTAGAAAAGCTAGACTAGTCCAACACACTGAAAATTGGCACTCCATATTCATACCTACCACGTCACCAAGACTTTGCAAATCCATCGCATTGAGGGTGTCGAATCCGCTAGACTTTCAGCACTGCTTAGAACTCAGTAGTTCGCTCAACCAGTCTTTCGGCGCCACCTGATCTCCGCCGCCTGCTAAAAATCAAAAGCTACAGTACAGTCTATAGGACCATATATATATATATATATATATATATATATATATATATATATATATATATATATATCAAAGAAAACAATTATTCTCAAGCAAAGTTTGCAAATCGAGAGAATTTCTGCATCTATATAATTAATAGTACGGTACAATAGCTAAGAAATATCATGGAACATTGAAAATAAATACCTATTGTCTAGTGACGATTTGATGCATTCGCATTGTCCATTTTCATGTCCTCAATAACAACTCCTAATAAGAAAAGGAGCAAGCAAAAGGTTAATAAGAAAATGATCAAGTAAAGGTTAATAATAAGATCTGGTGCTGAAGATGGAGTAGCTTGTTGCTCGGCATCTCCCTGTTGCTCAAGAACTTGAGAGAAATACGAAACTAAAGTCATTGTCCTCTTCTTCTTGTACACTCTAACGAGAAATTAGAATCAAAGAGTCGAAATTGGGAACTTGAAATTTGGAATCAAAATCAGTTTTAGATCCAAACCTTGCTCAGATGCTCTTCTCGGCTGCTCACCTGAAAGCAAGGAGAGCAAAGGCGGCAAGCAAATACCAAGAATGGGAAATGGTGGTGGCGGCGGGCGCCATTGATTGAAAGAACCGCGCGCCAGCAGACTGCCTAGAGCGGAGGGGTGACGCTGCGAAGGCGGACCGGAGTGTAGAGTGGAGGGCCGGAGGGGGCGAGGGGCGGCTGCCGACGGCCGGTGCCTGGCTGGACAGCGTGGGCGACGGGCGAGGCCACAAGGGTGGGTCGGCGGGCGGCAGCGGTCGCGAGTCACGAGCGATGGTAGACCGAGCGACTCAGCGAGCAAGCACCGAGTGTCTGTTGTCCTACTCCTTCCCTGGGCTGCTTCATCGGCCAAAACTGAAGACCTGCTCCCTTGAAACATGGGCCGCTACTAGGGCCATGGCATGAGCTGCCCTAGTGCTGGGTCCGCCCCTGCCTGCCAGACTGAGCCCCTGCCTTCTGCAGCCAGCCGCCTCCGGTGTTGAAGTCCACCTGGGCCATGTAATTATAATATAATCTCCATGACCGTAAAATTGGCATTATGTGAATGTACTTTCAAATATAAATCAAATAATATTGAAACTATAAATATAATCTGTATATCCATAAATTATTTGTTAATCAAATGATTAAAAAGTTGATATCAAAATTAATTGTATAGTATAATCCAAATATACTCTTAGATTAATTGTTAATCAAAAATTAAAAAGTTTGAATCTTGAGTTGCACATACCTTAAAATGGGGAAGAAGGAAGAAAATGTTAGAAGCGAATGTAAGTGAACAAGATTTGGAATGACTGTTGTAACACCCTAAATTTTGCCTCTTTTGAAAATAGGTTTAAAATGATTTATTTCTGAATTTTGTGCTCATGAAATATAGGGAAAAGAATATTTTTCATTAAATTAAAATCTATCATAAGGCATAGCCACATGTTTGTGCATACATGCCGGTGCATTTGATTTATTGCAATGAATGGTTGAATCCAAAATTCAAAATGAATTCAAATTCTTTGGAAATAAAATTGAAAATGGCTTAGAAATAAAAGAAAAGAAAATTTGAAAATAAAAGAGTTTAAAAAATTGTAAAATTTATTTTTTGAAAACCTAACAATGGTTCTTCTCCTATTTTGAATTGAAAAATAAATTAGAAATAATATTTGAGTTTGCATAGGTTCATATTTGAATTGGATTTCAAATAAGAAAAGAAAAGAAATAGAAAAGGAAAAGAAAACCTCTCTCTCTTCCTCTCTATTTGGCCCAACCAGTCTGCTCGCCTGCAGCTGGCTTCCACTCCCCACCGGCCCTGCTTCCTTGGGCCGACGGCCTGCTCGGCCTGCTCTCGCTCCCAGCGGCCCATCCGCTCTTTTCCCCTCTTCCCCGCTGTGGCGCCGGCTCATTTCCACCGGCCTAGCAAAGCCAAGACCGGCCTAGCCAGTCAGAGCCCAACCCCAGCTCGGCCACTGCTTTCGTGCGAAGCAGGCTCGCGCCCTGACCTCCTCCTTCTCTCTGCCACTCCGGCCCCGCTCTCGCCGACGCCGACAGGTGGGGCCGCCCTATCAGTTCTATCCTCTACCTCACGCTATGCCGTCTTCGTCTTCGTTACGCCTCTTCTGGTTGCGTGCACCCCACGTCCTCCGGTCTCTAAAATACCGAGCCTAAGCTTGTGCCGCCCTCGCCAAACCCTAGAACCGAGCTCTAGTGCCGCCCTATGCTCTAGCTCCGCAGCCTCGGATCCGCCGAGAAGAAGACACCACCGAGCCGATTAGCAGTTCATCCATCACGGTAAGATGATCTCCAAGTTTCGCGTGGACTTCATGAACCCGCAGAACCCCTTGACTCCCTCTCTCCCGCTCTGTGATGCCTTGCACCGCTACACCGTCACTCCGCCGCCACCATGGCACGCTGCTAGCTAGCTCAGCTTGCCAATAGTTGCAACAGATCGCATAGCCGAGTTCGCCTTAGCCCTATCCAGCTCCTAGAGCCAACCCCGAGTCCAATTTAGCTCCGTAGCGCTTCTCCCCAATTTCTCCGACGAGAAATCCCCAATGCCGACGAAATCGCCGCCGCTCAGTCACTGTTCTGGCGCCGGCATCCCTTCTCCCTCCCTGTCTTCTAATCTCAGCCGTCTATTCAGGATCCAACGGCCCAAGATTTCCCGTACCCCTTCGCCTATCATTCTTGCTAAAGAGCCCCTGCCCTTTTACAGATTCTAACCCACGATCCATTGCGTATTTCACAGATTAAGCCTTCTTCTTTTAAAAGCATATTTTGTTCGGTTGACTTCAAAAATCCATTTTCACTTATTTACAGTTTTGCCACTAATCTTGTTTTAGCCATAAAATTTCTATTTAAACTCCGATTTGACCCGTTCAAATTGCGTTAGGTTCGTAATTTCATAATCTACATGTTCATAGTACTGTTAGATATGTTTTCAACTTTTAAAATTTGAGGTTAGATTTAATCTATTATTTTATTAAAGAAAATCTTGTTTAATTCATATCTTTTACGTTTTAGCTCTGATTTGACCTGTTCAAGTTGCGTTAGATTCATAGCGACGAGATCTACGCGTTAGTAACATTGTTTACCATATTACTATTTTTGAAATTTCATGGTTTAAATCATATCTTGATTAATAATTATGCAACTGGACTTTATAAATAAAATATGATTTGTTTTACTTTAGTTTTATAATTCAAATCTAAATTTGACTTAATTCAATTTATATTATTTATAAAATATCTTATATATGAATTTATATAGTTAAAATAAATGAAGCCTATAGTTTTGTTTTTCACATATAAAGCAAATCTATCAGTAGATGTATCTTTTTCAACGTAGCTCCGATTAGTGTTCTTTTCGCGTCTGTGTGTTCGTAGCAAGACGTAGATTCGCTTTACAAACTTTTCATATTTATTTTATTCTTGGTGTACTGTTCTAATTTAGATCTATTGTTTGCTTCGTGTATGATTGCATGGATGCTTGTGTGGTGCTTTATGATCTTGTCCAGTCGGTGAGTTATACGTGGTGAATCTAGAAGCAGATCTTTGAAGTTTTGGACTTGAAGAAAGATCTAAGTTTAAGGCAAGTATAGCATGGGATCTTCCTTATTGTCCTATACACCTTAAATCATTTAATTCATACTGCATGTATCTACCTTGACTGCCACTAAGGATATCCTAGACTTTTGTACTTGTACCTTGATTCCTTTGGGTTATTGCATTGGGTAGTTTTGCTAGTGCTCAACTAAAACCATGATATTGTAACTTGACTAATGGTATATGCAATAAACATTAAAATAAGCTTTTTAGCAACATGGAAGAAGGGGGCTAGAGCATTGGGCTATTTTTATGATGCTCTAAATTCCTCTCCCTAAGGACTTATCTGTAAGTGATCATCCGGGACTTACAGTACAGCTGTGAGGGCTATATGGCTCTGGCTTTAGGTCAGTATGAGAACCTTTTCTAGGTTGTTAGTGGTTACCTTTATGGCGCAAGAG